TAATTTTCACTGTACCTCATTCTGGCATTTCCAAAGTTTAACTCTTATCAGCCTGACACCTTAGGGACTATTTCCAGACCCTATCACGCTAACTGTGGATCGATCTATCTCCATGGGAATTCTCGCTAAATTGCAATCAATGTAAGTGGCTTAGTTGTCTGTCACGCCTACTGAAACTGGCATGCCAGAATCCTAAGACTCTCAAACTGAAAGCAATTTAGTGAGAAACCCCTTGGAGTTGGATTGATCCTGTTAGATTGATCTAGGTATGGGAACTTAGTCTAATGCTTGATACACATTTTACTTTCATCCTAATCCAATGTTATGCAGAATAAGAATTTGATGTTGGCTATGCAGTTACAGTAAGCATAATAAATACATTAGTTCATCAGAATTGACAGTATCCTATTTCCTGCGTTTTTATTTTCTGGTTTTTGTCTGTACATTTGACAGCTTTGCTGCCTTGTTTACAGCTTTCGGATGATGTATGTGTTATATGTATATACTACAAGAAGCTGACAATTACAAAAGAAGGAAAGATTCATTAGATTTTAAATCTTGTTTGCATCAACATTGTAAAAAATGCATTTAAAATGGAATAAATATTGGTTTAAATTCCTTAAATTGTCATTTTTCATTTGGCTAAAATTATTTTAAATTGGCTAAAAATTTTTTGATTTGGCTAAAATTTTTCAGAAGTTTGGCTAAAGCGAAAAAAAATCCTAGCGCTACCCCAGCTAAAGCAATATCTTTTTATTCTTTGTTCTGTTGCTATTGGTACATGACTTTTTGGCAGGTATTCTTGGTGTAACCAACACCTCATTAAAAGCGATGCTCAGGGCTTCTTCAAAATGACCCCTGATGAGCTAATCCCACTAGACATGGACCAAGGAGGATGGAAGGAAAAAGTTGTTGTTGGACATAATGTGGGATTTGACAGGTCTTTTGTTAAAGAACAATACTTAATCAAGGTAAGTATGATTTAATACATGAGAGGCAATACCTGCATCAATTAGAAATCATCATGATTGCATTCTTGCATTGCACTGGCATTCATGTTAATCATGTTTATAGGATTTCCATTATGATTGCTGTTGTTTTAGATTCAAGATTTGGATAATTTTTACAATAATAATAGTCTTTTTTTACCTTTTGTTTAATTGAGCATTTATGTGTTCTGTTTTGTTTTACTGGTTTTCTGAAATATTTGAAAAATAAAATTCAGGGTCCTAAGACGAGGTTTATGGATACCATGTCTATGCATATTGCTGTGTCTGGATTTACTGGGTCCCAGAGGATGCTGTGGAATGCCAAGAAAACAGGCAGCAAGTCGAAATCCATTCTTGAGCTGGAAGAAAGAAATAAACGTTTGAATAAGTTGCCTGTGAGAATAATATGTATATTTACTTCTTAGAAGACATATAATATGAAACATTTTTAATATATTTAAAAATAAAAGGAGGTATGAAACCTTTTACATTTTAATTGTGGAAAAAAAAAAATATATATATATATATATATATGGTTTTGAAATCTTTTTTTAACTTGAATTCATGAACAAATGCTGTATTGAGATACATTGATTGCTCAGTTTCTCTCTGGCACCTGGCTTTATGTACTTCTTCTAATTTTATGTACAGACATCAATTCTGTACATAAAGCCATCACCTGCATCTGTCGTCACCATCAGTGCCTTGCACTTTCAGATATGGCACTTTCAGACATAACACTAAGTGGTAAACTATTCATCTTATGTCTTCATATGTACAGAACTGATGAATAATAGTAAAGTAAGGGCCTAGTTAAGAAAATTAAGGACCTAGTTAAGAAAAATTTTTGCGTCATATATGCAATTCAGTAAACACATTCCAAGGAAAACCAATAAGACTATTGTCTTCAAGCTTACAGGAAGGATCAATATTACTAAAATACAGGTTGAGTTAAAAAAAAAAAAACAGCCTGATCAAATTATTTTTCTTGAAGTTATGTTTTTGTATTTTTCAGTATATATTATACTAAATGCAATACAGATAACACATCTTATTGATAACACATCTTATTGCATCAAAATTGAAGAAAATCCTATTTTGGGCACTGCCTTTATAATGACCATTTAAGAAAAACCATGTCACTTACTTTTCATAAACTTACAGGAAAGAAACATAGGACTAAAGTGCAGCCAGAGTTGGAAAAGCTGTCTTATTGGCTTCTTTTCCAGTTGTGCATTTTTGTGAAATTTTTATCCTTCACATATTGGCATTTTCAGTGTGGGACTTAGAACTCAACGGGCATGAAGCCCAGTGGTAATCAAATTTTCAAATTTGAAATGCATCAGAAATTAGTAAGCTTGCCAACTGATGACAGTTACTCTAAAAGACTATCAGCTTTTGATATCTAAAACACCTGAGGTGACCGAGATCGCGAGCATCGCAACTTTTGTCACCAAAGTTAGTAAGTCATGGAAGACTGTCACAGACAAAGAAAGATTGTCAAGGAGTGCTGCAATTTTGGTGAATCCCATGGCAACACACTGAGGCATAAGGAAAATTGCTCAACTCTGTTCAACACAACTTTCTTAAACTATTGTCTGTATGCACCATGCAGCTCAGTTAAGTCTCATAGACCTTTATCCTCATTGTCGTCACAGTACCACGTGACCCAGATCTGTTGCTTCATTTATGCGTATTGAGGTGAGGTTTACTAAAACGCCTTTTTTCTACTAATAGATTGTTTTTATAAAGTTTTAATAGCGGGGATCGATTAAAACATACATCTAGTGTATAGATTGAGTGCTGAATATTCAAAATTCGAGAAATGGATTTTTGTGGTTCTGTTGTCCTAAAATAGTATCAAATTAAAAATTGGCGGTAATTCTACAGTTAATCATCATGTAATATTGCATCAAAGTTGACAAAAATCCCACTTAGTGCATTGCCACCACAAACGTTATGAAATGAAAACTGTTACTTATTATTTTTTCAACTTATAAGAAAAAATGATTCTTAGGATTGACATACAGCTCAAATTAGAAAACCAGCTCTATTGGATTTTTTTTTTTACTGAATTTATGCAATTTTTATGTGAAATTTTCATTTTTCTCATTCTGGCAATTTCTAAGTGTGAACTTGATCTCTCATAGCCTTATGCTTTTACTCTTTCATTGGTATTACCTCTTGTGCATAATTAAAACCAGCGTAGGCGCTGGCAGTACATATGGTTTTAATCCCATCCAGATCGTTCCGCCGGCTCTGCCGCCATGTTACCGTTACCGCTTCACCTCCTAGACGGTAAGGGCCTCCGTACCCATCTCTTGGATTTAGGTCACCTATAATCTCAACTCGTTCCACATAAAATTTGGGCTTTGTCGGTATTGGGGTCTAGGTGTGGCGCTCATTGCAATGCACCCATGTCCAAAAATGGCAAAATTAAATGCTAATTATCTACCATACCGAAGGAATTATGGGAAAAATTTCTACAAACAGCTGACCGAAATTCATATGTGTAGATTTCAAGTATGCCCTTGGATTTGACCTTTATTTCAAGGTCAAACGGGCCAAAATTTAAAAAAAATAAAAAACGAAATTTTTTACGAAAAAAAAATTATTTGCGCTGATATTCAAAAACTACACAGACCTAACCTATAATATTATTGGAAAGAGTTACCCATCAGGTCATCTTTCATCTCCGTGAATTTGGTGTCAGTTGGTGCATTTTCACTGGAGTAGCAGCCATAAGATACTGGAACTGAAAACTCTCTCTAATTTGGGAACCGTTAATGCTAGAGACCCATTCTTTTTTGCATTTTGTAGAGCATGTCAAGCCCAACACTGTGGGTGGTCTCCATTTTTTTGTATTCTATATGGTTTTTGAGTTATGCTGTATCAAAAAGTAAATAATGGTGGTGAAAGCAAAATGTGCAATGTAATGTATAATAAATTTTGAACCTCGGGGGGGGGGGGGGGGGGGAAAAAAACAANGACCTACTCTTCACCATGAACTGAACCCTGCTAATTTCTTTTCCTTTTCACTCCAAAACTAGCAGAGATAGGTCCATAGTTACGATTGAAGTTGAATAGGAAGTCATGTACTGGCAATCTAAGTATGACCTTGAAATTGACCTTTGACGTACTTTTCACCATAAACTGAACTTTGCAACTTTTTTAATGCTTATACTTTCAAAACTGGCAAAGATATGCCCATAGTTACTATTGAATTTGAATAGGAAGTCATGTGAGGCAATTTAACTGTGAAATTGAATTGACCTTTGACCTACTTTTCACCATGAACTGAACTTTGCTAATTTCTTTCCCTTTTATCTCCAAAACTGGCAGAGATACACCCATAGTTACTATTGAACTTGAATAGGAAGTCATATACTGGCAATCTAACTATGACCTTCACCATGAACTGAACTCTGCTAATTTCTTTCCCTTTTCACTCCAAAACTGGCAGAGATAGGTCCATAGTTACTATTGAAGTTGAATAGGAAGTAATACACTGGCAATCTAACCGTGACCTTGAAATTGACCTTTGACCTTTTTATGGTGAACTGCTTTTTGCATGTTTTCTGGCCTTTAAATCTGCAAAATTGGCAAAGAAATGCCCATGGTTACTATTGAACTTGAATAGAAATTCATATACTATAATATTGAAATTGACCTTTGACTTACTTTTTCACCATGAACTGAGCTTTGCATATTTTCTTGCCCCTCATATCTTCAAAACAAGCAGAGATGTACCCGATGTTGCCCATAGGTTTTCTCTTTTGTCAGCATATATGCACCACTGACAACACATTTCAAGGAAAACCAATAGGTCTTTTGTCTAGAGATCACAGGAGTTTATAGAGCTTGTCAAGCACAAGACTGGTGGTGGTGACCCTTTTTTTTTTGGGGGGGGGGGTTTCCATACGAATGCGCTTACTCCAGCTGGTGGTACAATATCCGGAGGCGGTATCTCCTCTCTGATCCTCTAGTTAAAATTTGATGTTGTCTTTGCAGTTAAGCATAATGTATTATTGAAAGGATCCTATTTTGTGCATTATTATTTTCTGCTTTTTTTTGTCTGTACATTCGACAGCTTTGCTGCCTTGTTCAAACATTGCGGCCAGTTTTTATATTTTACTTCAAACTCCCATGTCTCTGAACCCCTGTAATAGTCACATTTTCTGCATTTTCTTGAAATGCAGTTTTTTTTTTTTTTTTTTTTTTNAGTTTTTATATTTTACTTCAAACTCTGTCTCTGAACCCCTGTAATAGTAACATTTTCTGCATTTTCTTGAAATGCAGTTTTTTTTTTTTTTTTTTTTTTGAGAATTTTTTCATATATTGGAATTTTAGAAATATTCACCGTCTTATACAGTAAACAAAAAATCTTTCATACTTATAATTCTCAAACTTGGGGGAAATGACACCTAGGACGATAAGCACTGTCATAGCTTGCATAATTTTTTTAAATATCCAATTTGTGCAGTTACATGTTAAATGGAATGAAAATTGCCATTACCACTGGCAGTTTTATTTTTCATTAAAATTTCAAATCAAATCACCTAGATAGTGGACTGCACTGCCTATTAATTTTTATTCAGATTTTCAAAATTTTCTTAGAGGAGGCACCCCTGCCAAGAAAATCTTAATATAAATCTTAGTATTTGGTGTTCTAAATTTTCTATAGCAAGCACTGTTTGAAAAATGTGATTTTTTTTTTTTGAAAAATTTTGGCAATGAAGTATTTGTAACCCACTAAAGGCACTTTATTTAGCACTGTACTGGGAACATTCTCCATATTTCCACATAGATGATAGTATATAATGTCTTGTTTTTGCAAAGTTTTAAAACTTTATTAATGTGTGCAGGTGTTTGAGTGGATGGAAGATGGCGCTCCCAATAATCTGAGTGATGTATACCAGCATTATTGCCAGGGTGCACCATTGGACAAGGAAGTCAGGGAGGTTTTTTTGGAGGGAACCACATATGAACTAGGTCTAAACATCCAGGTAATGACCCTATTCCACAACGACTACGAATTCCATGAACCGGCATGGATTATTAAATTTTAGAAATTGTGAGAAATTGTGGAAATTTGAACATTTCTGGTAGAAATCTTAACTCTGTAGGATTCAGTTACAAATTTGTTAAGATCCACTTTAGAAAATTCTTGGGATTCTGCTTGAACAGCTTAAAGTCATAATAACTCTTCGTTTTGGCCAAAAATACGATTTTCCTGGAAAAAACGGCAATTTTCCCGTACTTACCAATGGTCAACGACCACATTCCTGCATTCAAAGTTAATCCAGGATTTTTTCTAAACGTATGGAGCCCTCTCTGACAATATAAGATTCATAAGACATATTCATCTTATTGCTCAAAATGCATTTATATCTACAGTGTGTGCAATTCTGGGCTTTTCGTTATCCGACGCACTGTACAAAAACTCGCAACTTACATCTGAGGGTTTCCCGCCATGTTATTGTACCACCAGCGTAGGCGCTGGCGGTACACATGGTTTTAGTCCCGACCCGTATGTTCCGCCGGCTCCTGCGGCTCCTGCGGCTCCTGCGGCTCCGCCGCCAAGTCACCGTTACCGCTTCTCCTCCTAGACGGTAAGGGCCTCCATACCCATCTCTTGGATTTAGGTCACCTATAATCTCAACTCGTTCCACGTAAAATTTGGGCTTTGTCGGTATTGGGGTCTAGGTGTGGCACTCATTGCAATGCACCCTTGTCCCAAAATGGCAAAATTAAATGCTAATTATCTCCCCTACAGAAGGAATTATGGGAAAAATTTCTACAGACAGCTTTCCAAAAGTCATATGTGTAGATTTCAAATATGCCCTTGGATTTGACCTTTGACCTTTATTTTAAGGTCAAACGGGCCAAAATTTTCAANGGTCTTGAATGAACGCGACAAACCGCGTGACACCTCAACGTCATTGGCAACGGATTCCTTGACGACCGTGAAGAAGGGCATTGAAAGCCCAAGAGACAAGCACAGATTTTAGTTTTACTACAATGACAGTCGTTTTAGTGGGAAAATGCAATAGAATATATTTCCAGGCGTTGTTTACAATGTATTTCTTACAGAATTTTGAATCTCAAAGGAAGAGTTATTATTGCTTTAAAGATTTTATCCCAATTAAAGTAAGAACTGTGGGATTTATCTATTCCTGGCGGTTGGTGGAATTCGTAGTCAGTGTGGAAAAGTATAAATAAATGTCATGTCGTATGTACTTGGATAAACAAAATGGTGACAGTTGTAATAGGGTTTATAATTTCATTCTGAACAGTGAAGTCGTTTTGAGTATTTCAATCTTAAAGATTTTCAATGGTAATGTTGAGTGTAAATCTCCTCTATGAAACTTAGCCACCTCCATTTTTGTCCATGCAGCTAATAACTTTATGACAAAAAGTGGAATTGCATACCTCTTTTTATTGGGCATGAAAAGAGTTGAAAATTTAGGGAGAATAAGTTGAAAATTTAGGGAGAATAAGGGGTTTGAATTATCACTTTCATCCTTTGTCCCCTAAGGGTTGAGGGGTTTATCATAGTGTGTGGATTCTCTCCAAACAGCACTCTGCACCCAGCTCCCTGAGCTCAGTTTCCTGTGTCCTGTGTAACTGTAAAGGTTAGCTCCCAACTTACAACCCTGTCTGCAGGTCACCGGAGAATTAGAGGCCATAGCTTACCCTGTGGCAAGATGGCAGTGATATCAGGGTTTTAGATAAAGACCCCATTTCCATAGATTTTAGATCGATCTATCCCTGTGGGGAGTCTCACTAGATTACTGTCAGCTTAGCCGGCTTAAGCGTCTGTCCTTCCTACTGAAAGCTGTAAGGGGGTAATTAACTATGGTGCGCGCTCGGCTGACTGCAGTTTAGCGTGAACTCCCAGGGAGTTAGGTTGATCTAAGTCTTAATCCCTGGATCGATCTAAATCTCTGGGAAAACACCCAAAGATGTGCTGCTCAGTTTCAGAGGATTCCCTTAAAGATGCATTTGAAGTCAAATTTTTTCCACTAAAGCTGACCATATGCCACCATATAGTTTCAAATAGTATAACTCAAAAATATCAAATGATATTAACTAAAAATCATATTTGAGTGGATATTTTCTGCTTGCTTTCTGTGCTGTATGTAACTAGGGCAGATAGGTATGTCAATTTACAACAGTGTATGAAATGGCCGCCAGCCCGAGGCTGGTAACTTTCAGGCCGGGCGGGTAAGATTTGCAAATTACCTGCCCGACGGGCTGGCTATTTTTACAGCCTATTTTCACCTTTTATTTTGTCTATGTTCACAAGCGATTTCAGCAAATATCAAATAAACTCACTGTTTTCATCCACTTTCATAAAAGCAAAGAACTAACCATTAGCTTGCAATCGAACGCTCGTATCGATATGTAACCAACAGTCTCCCTCTCAGTGGCCTCGTTTTCGAAGTTCCGTCTGTGTGATATGAAGTTGAAAGACAATTTGAAACGAGGCACATTGTTATTAACCAGCTTCAGTGCACAGCAGATAACGTTACGTCATTGTTTTGTGTAGAGGAGATACCGCGAGTAGCAATTTGTAGGTTGAGAGTAATAAAAATATGAAAGTATTAAAAGTTATGATATTGATTAAATTGACTTATAGGTACATGAAGTGCTTATAATCAACAGTAATAAAGGCAACGGAGGAGGCAAATTAAAGGAGAATTTTACAAAAAATTTGAATCCCAAAATTATGAGTGAACGTACGAGTTTACGCTGTGCGTCAGATGTAGTTCTTTTGCCACGTGTTTTCATCTTGGGCTGTCAAAAATGAAAAAAATTCTATCAAGTCCGATAGAGAAGTTCACAAAAGAAAAACAATTGAGGAAAGAAATAAGAAAGATTACGACAGAACCAAACGAAAGAGAACAAACTGGGACCCATGGAAAGGTGACTTCGATTTGCAATGAGTCGAGCGGCAACATTTTTTGTAAAACCGTAATTCAAAAGTATCACGCATTGCGACCGAGCGCA